TGCTTGACATGAATATCATGAAATCTCATTGAGTTTAATTAAAATGTTTTCAAATTTAAATAAATTGAAATAAGACCTAAGTACTTTTTTGTTTCCAAGCAAATGCATAAGTAGATGAGTACTATTTATTATATGGTAACTATAAACTAATATTTAATATATGTTACAAAAACTGTTTTTTACATGTGATTTCTAATCAAGATTCACTAATTAATGGCAGCATGACAATAGAAACTGGTTAAGCAGTACTCCAAGAGAAGATTATTTCATATTTTTTCTCATTTAGTTCCATTGAGTAAAATGGAACCAAATGGCTATGTATTATATGCAAGCACAAAAAAATACTTACTAAAGATATTTGGTATTATAATTGTTACAGTGTATTTTTAAAGTTGATTTCTTTGGATCAAATTTAAGGAATGTTTGGCCTGTTCTCACATAAAATGTTCAACTTACAGAATCTGATGCACCTGAACTTGTCCGTGCAACAAGAGCAAAAGGAATGTACATGTACCGCACACACAGGACTCACTTTCCTTTCTAATCTCACAAACTTTAATCAAGTTCTGGAAGCCACTGATATCTTAGATCATGCTTCCATTTACAGTGAAGCGAATATTAAAAATATGTTTTTAAAAATCAATTCAGGTTACAGACTTCATACAGGCTTTTTGAGATAAGAGCTTTGAAAAATAAGTTTGCAATTTTAATTCACATATAAACTCTAAGATCAGCACTTCATGGCTGTCTAGTGGGACACAGGCAAAGGCTCCTAATAACATGTCTCTGACCTCAACAGAGCCTGTAGTAGGATGTGCGGGCTGACCACTGTCCTCCCTGTGCCCTTGATAAAACCTTCACTTCTTTCTTAACATCCCCATTCCCAACACCCTTGGGCTCAAGGGTGGACAATACTCTTATAGCAATTCTCTTATAGCAATCTGCTGAAGAGAACAATTCCCCAAAGGAAACTATCATTAGAACAGACTAGCCACCTTCTTTAAGACACTCTCAGAACTAGTCCTCTCTCTCTCTCTCTCTCTCTCTCTGCTGTTCATCTCAGTCTCCATAGATCCTTCACCTTTCACCCTTTTTAAAATTTTATATTGAATTTATTGGAGTGACATTTGTTCACAAAACCATACAGGTTTCAAGTGTCCAACTCAAAAAAACGTCGTCTGCACACTGCATTGTGCACCCATCATGACCCTCAAGCAAAGTTTTTCTGTCCACACTTCCTCCCCTTTGCCCACCTCCACCTCCCCTCCACCGCCTTTTCTTTCTGGCTGTCACCACACTGTTGTCTGTGTCTACGTGTTATATATATATCTATATATCTGTATAGATATATAGATATATAGATATACACAAACATACATATATGTATATATATGTATATATACATAACATATATATATGTATATTTTTTGCTTAATTCACTCATCTTCTTTCATCCTTTCTTGAATCACCTGCCCAGACCCTTCACTGTGCCCTGGGACACGTCAAATCTTTCATCAGCTAAACTGATATTCGATCTCTGTTCTCTGTATGGTTCCTGTCTTCTTGTTCTAACAATCTTATCTGCATAAGAATACAACTTTTTCAGCAGTTCTCTCAAGAAGTAACTGTTCCTTTTTGTCAACACTTCCCATACTCTATAGCTAAAGATAGAATCGGTTTCCTCCTTGATCCTTATTGACATTTCCCAACCATTTCTCTCTTCTCCTAAAAAGAAGGAGGGACTTTGTTCTCATAGCAAACTGTCTCTTCATAGTCCATGTGCTTTCGCACTTGCCCTGATCATGGTTATTTCACTTTTCTCTTTGCTCCTTGAAACGCCAATACTTCCCATGTCATCCTCAAATGCAAACCTCACTTCTAATTTCCCTGAAGCAATAAAAGCAATCCCATCACTTAATTTACCCATCAGCCTGCGTCTGTGCCCATGTCCCTGCCTTCCTCCTGGGACAGTGGATGAGCTCTCCTTGCTCCTGTCTAAGGTGCTCCTCGTCCTTGATCCAAGTGTGAGAAACGTATTTCACACTCCCCTGATTTCCCTCCTGGCTGTTCTCCTACTACCTTCTTTGCTGGGCACTTTTTTTCTTGTCCTCTGAATGTTGGGAACCCCCGGGACTTAGTCTCTGGATATTTTTTTCCTCCACCTACATTTACTTCCTAGATGATCTTATCTAAGCCTATGATTATAAATAAAATCTACATTTGTGCTGTTTAGGGTGGCTATACAATAGCCTTCACCAACTGTAGCTATTGAGCACTGAAATGTGGTCATACCAATATCTAAAATACACACTGGATTTTAGAGACTATGAAAAAAATGTAAAATATCTCATTAATTTTTGTACTGATGAAATGACAATATTTGGATTTATTAGGTTAAGTAATCTATTGCTAAAATTGATTTTACCTGTTTAATTTTTTTAATGTGGCCACTAGAAATTTTTTAATGACAACATTGGTGACTCATACTATATTTCTATTGGACAATACTGATCATTAATAACTCCAACCTTTCCTATTAGCCCACGGTTAATATATAACAGACTGGCTATTGGACATTTTCATGTGTATGTGTATGTGTATGTGTACTAGGCACCTCAAACACAATGTGCCCAAATGTCAACTCAGGGATTCGGCGCATGCGAAACTGCATCTCCCTCCCTCTCTTCCCCCTCTCAGGGGGTGACAATGCTTATCTTCCGGCTCATCAAATCTAAAGTTAAGAATCATCCTTTCCCTCACACTCCATACCTATTCTTTCAGCATGTGCTGACAATTCATCACCAAAAAATTTTAAAGAAAGTATTTTAAGAAAGTGAGCTTAGGGAACAGGAATGAATGATGGGAAAATAAAACCAGGAAGAAGGGAGACTAATGTAAGAATTTGGTGGTGAGGGTGGTTGACCCTCACTCCAGGAAACTAGTTGCTTAAATGCTTGAGGCCTTCTGAGGAGCTTTAAAGAATATAACTGAGACCTTTCTGCCCAGGTAGAGAAAGAAGGAACCATTTCCCCATTGTCTCTCATGTCCCCTTCCTGGGGAGTTCAATGGTCAGTGCTAAGCCCACTCTGTGGGTGTCCCAAGTCAGGAGGAGCCAGAGAAGCCCAGAGCTTGTGTTTATTACAGTACTGGAAACACTCTGTTGTAACTGTCCATTTATTCTCCTTCATCCAACCACATACAAATTACATATGCCAAACTGCAACTTCTTGAGGGCAAGTAGCTTTATCTTTTATCTCTACATAGCTGGCATCATAAATAAATGCTGGTTGAATAAATGCATGAACCCCACAATTTCAGTATGGCCATGACCCCCAAGATCAATCTTCAATCTTCACCTACCTGTCTCTCCTTAAGTGCTAGATCTCCATTTCCAACCTTCTAATCATCATCTTTACATACATATCTACTTAAGAGGTCTAAAACGAAACTCATTATTTTCCCTGGCCCTTCTCCATCTGACCAAAATCTGCTTCTCCCTCTGAATTCCCATCTCAATGTAATGACATCCATTTTCCAGGCTAGAAACTGAAATGTTGTTCTTTAGGCATTCTTTAATTAGATGAATTGTGGAGAGCCAGGTTAAAAACCATGGACAGATTTCTTTCCTGTAGTATTTGTCAAAGCTTTCCATGTATTAATGCTCAGTACGAGTCTTCAAGATGTGAATGTATTTTTTCAGACTCATCTAACTGAAGAGCCCTTCCGTCAAGCTGAATCACTCAGGACTGAAGACTAGGCTTGGGGAATCACTGTCGCAGCATCCATCCGCCACACTTCACGCTTCACTACTGCCCTCATTTAGGCCCCTGTCATCTCATACATGGAACACCTCTTTCCTAAAAAGCCTCCCACTGATCTACCACACCCTCTCCAGTTTGATTTTTCAGACAAACAGATGTGGCCATGCCTCATTCCGTCCCCAACCCAGGTTTAAAATCACCAGTGGGTTTCCACTAAGTTCCAGTCCTAGGCCCCTGTTATATATTATAAATTCTAGCCCCACCCATCTTCCCAACTTCCTTTCTTTCACAGCTCTCCTTTCCCAACACATCACATTCTTTTGTCTCTTGGGGTTTCATTTCATTGTCACTGCTCCAAATGGCCTCTCCTGTTTCCACCCTCTAACAAACTTCTCCTTACAACCCATTTCTAATGAGATCTCTTCCATTCCAGCACTTGGTTGGTTATGCCTCAGCGTTTCCGTAATGCTTTGCACTGACTGCTGTTACAGCCATTGTCACGTTGTACGACAAGAGACAACCTATGTTCCCACCAATACGCTCTAACTAAACCTTTGTTTCTCCAGCTCCCAGCACCTGTTCTGTGGCAGGAACTGAATGAAAAAAAAATTCAAATGAATGAATAACGAAATAAGCAATAACAAAGATAAAAATGTAGATGAATTTCAAAAAGCTATAACTAAAAATGTGTTTTAAGAGCTCATTTATTCCAGCCATTAGTCTCAGGAAAACATCATTTTGTTTAACAGACCTTCAGTTTCTATCATACCAAGTTCTTGAGAGAGAATAAGCCTTTACTACAATTTGTCTTAAAGGGGAATCCTGTAATTCCCAAAATTATCCTTAGGGGTTTGGAGGACCATGCTCACACAGTTTGTCTACTCTACCTACCCTGCTCAACAACAGAATCCAAAGCCATATGCCTTCGACTGCACTACTAACAGTGAACTAACCGGTCTCTGAGGACTTGTACTAGAAGGAATGTCAATCACCCTGCCAGAGGAGTAGCTAGCCAGTTTTGTTCATCTAAGCTCCTCTTCCCCATTAGGGTGCTCTCTTCTCAATTTTGGGTGGCCCCCGAGTTAGCAGCTCTTTCAATCAAGCCTCCTTACCTTTCATTGCTAAAATTTAAAGTTTGAATTTTTGCCTGAACAAGGAAATTCCATTATAAAAACACACCAGAAGCAAACAGTTTTGCCTGTTAGTTTCCTGAATTCCTTTGCTCCACCAAAAACTTACCTTTTGCAATTAGATCTATGGATCCCATGAATTTCTCTTTTACATTAAAAATGCATGGCTTCTTAAAAGAAGTGGATTGTGGGGGCTCCTCAGAATGGTCGCCTTTGGAAACATCTTTGGGAAAACAAGTATGTTTGTGTGCTGTCTGAAGTTCTTGGACCACATCAAGTGTTTCCTTCTTCTTTATCTCCAAAGGTATGAATATGCCAGATTTTGGTTTTTGGTGTTTATTTCTGAAAACATTTATAGAACTACCTTGAATTTTGTTCTGTGAATAAAACAAAGATAAATTTAATTAAATTTAATTCCCATATTAACTATATAACAGTATATAATAAATTTTATTACTACAGTATTAAACTTATATCCACTAAATTCATTTTGCAGAGTACCTTTCTATATAAGAAATTTATTATAAAGTGTATGACAGTATTCAAATAAAGGAGATGTTTTCTTCTGTAGTTCTCAAAAGGCACTTCACAGAGATGAGGGTTATATTCTACTTTGAAAAATATAAATTTAAAATAGTTATTTTTCCCTCAAATACAATTGTTTCCAAATACAGCTTTAAAGTCCACTTTAAAATAGAAGTTTTCAACTAGATATATAAGAATATAATTATTTTTCAATCATCTTTGAAGAATTCTAAAACGTCCATAATATGCTAACACCCCCAATACTCTTTTTTTGTTGAACCATAAATAACTGCTCATACATGGAGGTAGATTCTAAAAAAATAATAATAATTGGACATGTATTTCAGATCATTTTAATCACTTAAATGTTTATTATTTTTTACTACCTTGAGTAATATAAAAATAGTATAGTCCCAGGTCTCTGAGAAGTAGTTATCCAAACAATTATATTTATTCTAGTCTAATCATTCTCTGGCTCATAGATAGAGATATAGCTTCCTCCCTCCCTTCCCCCCCAACGACAAATACAAGTTGTTGCCAATTCAAGATGCCATTAAAAAAGTATCATGTTTTTCAAGCAGCCAAAGACAGAATATTATCCTGTTATTAAACTCTAAACATGGGTCAGGGTTCTAAGACACCTCTATCTAACTCTGAAGACTGAAGTTTTCATCCCATGTACCTACTAATTAATCAATATAATTTCAAATTGTTTTTTGGTTAGAGGAAAAAGTTAAGCAATGTCAGCAATGTTGATTACAACATTAAAACCATCTATGGCCAGTCTCCACATAGAGGACCATTCAAAAGTAACATATGTAAAAATTATAACCCCCTTCCTCCATAGTAAGGACTGAAAATATTTAAAATCTTTATTTAAAATGCACTGTTTTAAAAAGTATTCAAAAGAGAATAGGATAGTGCAGGACAAAGTACTTCATTCTAAGACCCCCTCCTTCCTCACCCGTCTCCCCAAAGACCCATTTGCCACAATAGCTGCTGCTCCCCAAATTGCCCATCTCTTCTGTAGCTGTCCTCCAAAATTCACCCTGCGCTCCCTCTCCTTTCTCTTTGTCTCCCCTGTTCCTTCCACTCCTCCTCCTCGGACCTTCCAAATCAATGCTATTCAGCAATTGTTTATTGGGCCAGGCCCAAGCTCGTTGCTGAAGATACAATATTCTAAAAAGGCAGCCAGTACCCACAGGGAGCATTCAGACTGGTGAGCAGTTCTAACTCAACGTGGAGGAAGATCAGGTAAGTGTGGCATGTAAGGGCACAGAGGAGACATCATCTCACAGTGTGTGTTCTAGAGATATTTACTTGAGATATTTAATGTAAATATCTCTGTTATAATTCATCAAAAGGACAATATTAAGAACTGTGTGTGCAAATTAAGTATATATTTATAATTAAATAATCTGTATAGCTGAAAAATCTTAATTTTAAATGCAATCTGAAATCAAATCTTGTAGCTAGGAAGGATTTCATTTTTTTCTCTATTCTATTCAAAATCTGTCAGGGTTCATGTAATCATTGGAACAATCATTGTAGTATACAAAAATAGTTATTAGTTTCCCAAAAAATATAATATTAGATAAATGCAAAGCACTAACCTCATTTATTTTCTCATAATGTTGGGCAATGAGATTTTTTGCTTCCTGAAAAAAATCTTGCTTGGTAATCTCTAATACATGACCTAAAAGAAAAAGAGAGAAACTTTTTTTAAGGTAGTTAATATACTTTCTTAATCAAAATATGGTGAAACTATGATATTAAAATTTGGGGACAGGTATGAATCTTGCTGGACATTATTAAAAATGAATCTTGTAAGTGGAACTTGTAAGTGAACACAAAGCAAGTTAATGTAATGCTCCTTCAATATAATATTTTGCTTTAAAAAACATCAGTTTACAATAGTCAGAGTGATAGATTATCCTAAATTACTAAAATTCAGGGAAATCAAAAAAAGCACACAAAATTGAAATCTCGAATAGTTCTAAACATTTTTTAAATGTTTTTATACATAAGACACAAGACATTTTTCTCAGTAATTACAGTCAAAAGGTGGCCGGGGGTTCATTCCTTATCATCGTTATGGGAATTGGAGTTTTTGCTGTCTCCCTGTCTTCACTGGAGAGTTTTGCTAAAACAATTCTACAAAACTCCTAAAGCATTAAAAGAAAACTGGAGTTTTATAAGCGATCCATCATAGTAGCATTAAGCTGAGTTTCAAGTATATATAATATATATTATATGTATAATAATATAAGAAAATGTTTTAGGCTAGTGAAATTATTTCTTTCCCCATGGAAATGTTAATATTTGCCCACACATTTTGGCTAAATTTCATACAACTAGTTCAATCTCTTCATGAACTTTATTATAACATATTTGTTATTGCTAATAATGTATTTTTATTGCTACACGGGGATTTGGTAAATTAATCCAAAGTATGAAGAGATTTTATTATTTGCAAACCTATTCATTAATCAGTTCTGGATAAAAAGAGCTATAATAGGACCAGACTCATTCAAACTAATTTAGAAAGTTGAAATTTATCCCTGTGAAATTGAAGAAGTGAGGACTGACTCATGAAATTAATTATATAAAGAGTTAGCCCAATCATAGTAACACAACAATAACTACAGTAATAGTAACTTTTCACATTTTTTGAAAGTTTATTAGGTACTGGGTGCTCTGCTAACACTTTGTAATCAAGTCCAATTTTATCCTTGCAATGACTCTGTGAGATATGTTATTATTATCATCCATATTTTACATATGAAAAAAATGAAGGTTTAGGACAATAAAATAAGGTTCATGGGCAAATTGGAATTCAAGACCAAAATAGTGTGACTCAAAAAGAAAAGCTCTTAAAAGTCATTCTATACGCTATAGATATAAATTTGCATATAAATAAAGCCTTTATTTTTTTTAACTGAGTAGAAGCAGACCTTGACAACTTCTTAATAATTACAGTAGTAATGTGTGCTTGAATGTAGAAAAGATGCATGCTCATCTCATTGCGAACAAAGAAACAAAGATTATTAACTGGATGCATTCTTAATGTCAAAGTTGTTTAATTTCCTGTGGCTTTAAATTTATTTGTTGAATCAGCTGCTGTAGCACCTTAAATGACATCGAGGGCTCAGGACTGCTGGCTTGGAGTCAGGGTGCCAACACACCTTTAGTGGATCCAGTTCAGGATCCACGTGAAGTGGCTCTCTTTTGGTGGCTGCCTGTTTTTGCCCCTTTAATGGAATCCCAGGCCTTGTTCTGTTCAAGAACCTCATGAACTGACTGTGTGGGTTCACTGTGGCAGTAGCTAGGTGAGCTGGGATCTACTCGCTGGCTCCAAGCAGGCCATTAGGGTCACCAGAGTGTACGTCAGCTCCTCCACAGTTCACAGGAAACAAGGGGCTTTCAGGGTTGGGGAAAATCAGAAACACGGATCAACAAGAACCCAGCTAGAAAGAAAAGGCTGCTTTGGGAATTTAACTCCTCTTTCAAACGGTGGTGGAGGGGAAAATGGGAACAACTCTGTCAGCACATTAAATCACAAGTTTGCAGGAGACTGCTGGCTTGAAATGAAAGTGTCTTAGTTCATTCGGGCTATTATAAAAATACAATCTAGGTGGTTTATAAACAAGAAATTTATTTCTCATAATTCTGGAGACTTGAAAGTCCAAGATCATGACATTAACAATTTGAAACCTGGTGAGGACCTGCTTTCTCATTAATGGATGTCTTCTCCCTGTTAGAATGACCTAGCTCTCTGGGGTCTCTTATAAGAACACTAATCTCAGTCTCAAGAGTTCTACCCTCATGACATAATCACCTCCCAAAGGCCCCATCTCTTAATATCATCACATTAAGCATTAGGTTTCAATGTATGACTTTGGGGGGAACATATATATTGAGTTCATAGTGGAGAGTGTGGGTGAAATGCAAACATTTTACTAGGTTAACCAATCGAATGCCAGAGGAGTCTCCACTACTCCCAGGGGGTACGCGGCACCACGAAAAGCAGCAGATGTATAAAAAGAAAAGCAGGCAGTGACTCAGGAGATCAGTGTTTTTGTGGGTGCCAGGCATGGCTGTGCAACTTTGGAAGGCTGTTGGGCCCTCTCTGTCTGAGAGCTTTGCTGTTAAAGAAGGCTAGGCCGTCTCTAAGCTCTCATCTAGAATGAAGATGGGATGGTTTTTATAAAGTTACATCTTCACCAAAACACAGTGACCAAAACCCAAACCCAAAGCCCAGTGTCATATACTTTATTAGTCCATCACATTAGTCATGTCATATACTAATAAAGTATATTGACCATCATGTGTCTGATACATGGCAACACTGTAATTCTAAGTAATTATAAGAGATATTTAATCAGTCAAAAAAGAGGTAAACAAGGACGAGTTGTAGACTCACTGCCTTTCTCCAGGAAGTTAGTGGTCTGGTTAGAAATTCCCCCAAAGTAGATTCAGATTTTAGTTGAAACTTGATGAACCGACAATTTTAATTTCTCAACCACTGTCTCTTCCTTGTAAGGACAGTGCCTCTTATGGCTTTGAACAGTGAAATTTGTATGAACCGTTTTGTGATTCACAGGTAACGTTATGTTTCACTCTCTACAAAGAATATGCACACTTCTTCAGAAGCATGTGCACAAAGTCTTGACAACTATTTTTGTTGAAAAGGAGAAAAATTCCACTGAGCCATTGCCTTAGGAATATGTAGACAGCCCTGAATGTGGGGGATGCCGTGGCAAATGTGGAAGGATGGGGAGAGTTGAGTTTGGTAACAACGTAGGCCACCTGCCATAGCTACAAGTGGAAGAAAGATACTAGAGAGCCAGGGGACATGTTGCTCTTTCTAGAATAACTGCAGAGAGGCAATTCCAACGCCCGGTGATGGAACACCTGTAGTAGGTGCTTCCTCCCCAAACTTAGAAAATTGCTCCTCTCTTTTCTTGCTATGGTTCCCCCCCAGGCCTTGTTCCTCAGATTGTCATCGACCCCAAGTAACAGGACCCATGAGATGAGTCTACCTGGCGAAAAGCAAGGGCAAAGTTTGTGAAGGAATGACCCTCTCTTTTCCAAACTGCTTATCTTATTTTGTACTTCCACCACTGATACATGTTAATTCCAGTAGCTCTACAGTTTATCCAAAATTGGCTGTTACCAGTATTTTAAATTTTAGCTAATCTGGTGGGTACATGGTAGTATCTGCTATGATCTGAATGTCAGTGTGTCTCCTCCCCAAATATGTATATGGAAATCCTAACCCCCCAAAGATAATGATAATATGAGGTATGGCCTTTGGGGGGTGGAGCCCTCATGATGGGATTAGTGCTCTTATGAAAGAGGCCCCACAAAGCTTTCGAGGTCCTCCCACCATGGATAGGTACAACTAGATGTCCGCAGCCTAGAAGAGGGTCCTCTCCTGACCGGGCCGGCCCCCTGTTCTCAGACTCCCAGACGTGATAATGGTGAGAAACAAATTTCTGTTGCTTATAAGTCTGTGGCATCTTGTAATAGCAGACCGAGTGGACTAAGTAGCTCATTATGGTTTTGATTTGCCTGAAGATGGAGTTTTTAATTGCTTAAAATGGGAGTGGATGAAGAGAGAAAAAATTCTTGATCCTAAGAGTACTAAAGGAGTTAGAATTATAGAAATGGGGAGCATACTAGCCAGACCAAAAAGCTGATGTAAATGGGTAATATATGGGGCCTGGCAGAAGTAACAATGCCATTGGGTGTGGTTGGGAGGGTATGTGAATGTCTCCCATGAGAGAGACAGCGATTTGAACATTTCACCTAAAATGTCATATGGTGTGCTTGAGTGTGATACTGTTATGTTATAGAATTACATGCCTAGGATTTTATAACAAAGATTTGGTATAGATTACCAGCTCATAAAAAAACAGTGTTATTTATGCCAGACCTTGTATTTTAATTTTACTGAGTTCAGGTTAAGAGGAGAAAGCCAAGAAACACTTTTAAATGTCACAATCAGCTAATAATAAAGGAAATATATAAGTAGGAAATCTTAGAAAAGGCTAAATGAAAATATGTATTATATATAGTTGCTATAATATTCCATATATAACTCTGGGAAAAAAGTAAATAAAAAGTCAGGAAAATATAAATGAGATAAGTTATTATAATATTACCCATTTGTAGGTGTATATATTTTTATTTTAATGCTATTACTACTTAATAAGCCTATTTAAAAGTTTTATTTTGAAATTATAATTTAATCAACAAATTTTGGGATAAAAAATGTTGAATAAGTGTACAGCCATATGAGTTATTCATGGAGTATAGAAACAGGACCAGACTTGTTAATAATTTTTTGTGACCAAAAAATTATTTTTTTGGCCACAAAGATTCGAGCTGTTACAGAGGCCAACATAAATCACCAGCACCCCTCCTGCCAGTTCACTGACGTAAAAACTTCCCTTAAAGATATGTCTTTATATTGTATTATTAGAGATAAGATTTGAAACAGAAATATCCCAAGAGAAATAACAGTGAATCAAATCCAGACTAAGGCAGTGGTTTTAAAATTGTGCTTCAACAATTTTACATGTCTTGGTGGCTCTTCTTTCTTTGAGTCAGACCTTATTAGTTTTACTTATTTGATCTCTTCCTAAGTTTTATATTGTAGGGGGGAAAAGTTGGCTAA